CGTCCGACAGCGATTCAAATTATTCCAGTGACAGCTCATTATACAGAGCACTCCAGAATTTAAATGTGAATAAATCTTTTGTGTCTCGTACCATCGCTGATACTGGTAGCGTAGCCCGATGTCAAGGAAGTGGACGGAAGAAAACAGCAACATCAGCAGAAATGGTTCGAAAAATAAAGAAGCAACTTGAACAAAACCCGCGTCGTAGTGGCCGAAAAATGGCTCGTGGGCTAAACATATCGCAATATTCCATTCGGCAAATATTGAAAAATGAGCTCGGGGTAAAGCTTTTGAAATTCCAAAAAGACAAGAACTTACACCGTAACAGAAAGAAAATAAACTCAAAAGAGCTAAAGAGTTGCTTTGCTTGGCCTAAAGTGGTGAACTGCCGAATTTGGTTTTCTCCGATGAGAAAACATTCGTTGTCCAGCAGTTTGTAAACAAACAAAATGATCGTGTTTCCTTGCCAAAGAGGTCAACTCAAGCGCCGGCCATAGTGAGGGTCGCGACGGGCCGCCATAACAGTCGATGGCCACTCTCCGCTCGTATTAATCGACCGTGGCATCAGAATAAATGCGGAATATTATCGTGAAAATATTCTGGAGGGTGTATTAAAGCCTTGGGCCCGTAAACATTTTGACCGCAGACCTTGGACATTCCAACAGCACTATCGCATTCAGCACGCACCACCAAAGAATGGTTACAAAATGAGGTTTTTCGCTTCATTTCCAGTGCACAATGGCCCCTAAAAATCTCCGGATACCAATCCGTTGGACTATTGTATCTGGAGTATTTTGGGAATTGGCCAAATTGCTGCGGAGCTACATTCGGGCAACGTGTGACGGTTTCATTGGCCGTTTGAAGACCATAATTCGTGCTGAAGGTGACCAATTCGAACAAATCTGAACATATTCTAAAATTTGATGCTATTTCCGACATTTTTTGCTTTCATTTAATAAAATTAAAAAAAGTGTAAACATTATGACGTTTGACTTTGTTGCAGTTTTTTATCTCACCCTCAATCTCAATGGAATTGACAATTTAAATCGACTGAGTTTTGTAAATCCTTTACAACGTAAAAATGTCAAAAATGTTCAAGACCTTAGGTATAGTATTTGATCTAATGTCTTAAGAGGCTACTCTATAGAAAGCGTTGTTAGTTCCCCGCAAAGTTGTTTGGAAAATACACAACATTGAAGATTTCAACCTGCTTCCACGTAGCTTAGGTTTCAGCGACTGTCTTGTCTTCTTGCCAACATTTAATTGGTCGTTGTTTTTTATGTTCTCTTAATCTTGGCCCACATAACAATTTACAATTTTTTTTTGCCATAAACTTAGAAACCATTTTGTATCAAATCGCCAATAATTCAAATTTTGTGCTCAAATATGGCTAATAACATTGAAAGTCACATAAATTAGTGACAACATTTCTACAGCGAGAAAAAAAATCAACATTTGAAAACAGAAGTGTATACAAAAACGTGATTTTTTTGTTGTGTGTGTTTTAGCAAGCGTCCGTCTGTCCATCGCACCTCTTCAAATCACAGTTGCCTGTTTTGTTATGCAGAGCGTAATCATTCGTTCGTTCGTTATGGCTTTTCAATCAAATTCAAAATTTCTATCTAATCAACATATTTCATATTATTGGCTATTAAAACCAAATGTTGGCTTTATGTTTTATGTCGTTTTTTATATCTAAATTTTAAAATCAAATAAATACTTAAAATGCCAATAATAAGCCAACGGAATGTTGGTTTAATATTTCAAATTAAGAAAAATATTTGGTATAGTTTTTTTTTTCTTTTGGAAGAGAATTCAGTTTATATGGTATGAGGATCAGTGAATGCTGTCACAGTATCTAAAAGTTAAAAAAGAAACTAAACGTTGTATTTCGTTCCATTTGTAACATTTCGAAGTAATCATTTTACACCCAAAAAAGTATACATATTCATGATTATAAACCGATTCAGAAATGACTCTATCTTCCGAAGGAATTGGAATAGAGTCCTAAAATGGGCTATTTCGGCTAACATTTCATATAGCGCCCATATAAGAATTTTAACGATTTCGATGATTATCTGCACATTTCTCAAAGGGAATTATCTGGTATTAAGTATTTGCTATGGCTTTATAACCGCAATAAACAGCTAATATAAGTCCACTACACATAACGGTACCCTCTCATTTTAAGAATTTCGAAACTTTCGGCACATTTTTCAACGGTGTTGTGTGGAATTTGGTATTTGAAGGTTGTAACGGGTTCCTAACGACCCTGAAACAGCTAATAAAGGTCCACATTGTGGTGTATCTCCCATATAACAGTACTATCATATATTCGGTATTCCCATGGCTTCCCTAATTTTTTCAACGGAATTGTCTGAATTTGGTATTTGAAGTTTACAATGGGTGTCTAACTGCCTTATAAAAATTGCTGATATAGGACCTTGTTTTTATTTTATATCCAAAAACTTGTTCGGACCGTACTTATTATTTTTCTACAAGAACGTCCAACCGTTCGAAGTAGGCTCTTGACAGAAAAAGATAAAAAAATATAAAAAAGTTCAAAAGTCGAGCGGACCGACTAAATGGTACCTCATGCATATTTAGAAGTTGTACCCTTTACAAATAAACGTTTATATAGGAATTTTATGTGAAGTTGATCATACCAACTAAGAACCTCTTTTGAATGCTTTTTATGACTTCAGATCCGTTATAATTTGGATTCAGAGGGAACCAATATATCTGAACCGATTTCCGCCAAAATTGACGGAGGCATCTGTACCTTTGGTACCAAATAACAAATAATTGGTAAAAAGTACATGATAGGACTTCCGTTGAAAAGAAAATTGACTCAAAAGACCTAAACAGTTGCATCGCTTGGCCGAAAGTGGTGAACTGTCGAATTTGGTTTTCTTCTATGAGAAAACATTCGTTGTCCTGCAGTTTGTAAACAAACAAAATGGTCGTGTATTAATCGACCGTGGCATCAGAGTAAACGCCGAATATTATCGGAAAAATATTTTGGGGGTGTACTACAAATCTAAACTTATTCTAAAATTTGATGCAATTTCCGACATTTTTGGCTTTTATTCAATAACATTTAAAAAAAAAAATGGAAAAATTATGGCGTTTGACTTTGTTTCTTTTTTATCTCACCCTGTATATCTGAAAACCCCTGCTGGTACCTCACTCTCAAAGGGTCACAATTTTCAATACTTTTATCTGTCATAACTTACGAAACAAGTCAGCGATTTTTTACAACTTAGTATATCTAAATACATCTCTCTTTGCCAGAAAGTTGAGATTAATATGGAATTTATGTTTTTCCATAGATTGGATGTAAATGTTCGATTTTCTTGTTTTATTGCCCATACCAATATTTTTATATGTATTAGATGAAGCATGAAAATGGAATACTTCAGTCGACTATATCTGGTATCTCACGCACATGTTAAAATTTTCTAAAAATTATAAAATATATCATGTAAAGTGAAGGAAGTTACCAAAATAGTCCACGTCGCAATATTTATATCTTACTTAATGATGTCCGATACGAAATGAACAATATTGGCACATTCCTTCGGAACCTACTCCATAGAGGGTCAAGAGTTTGAATAATCATAACAGAAGTCAAAATATTTTTAAATAATCAAAACCGACAGATATTTTTAACTTGTTTTTTTGAGAACCTTGATGAAAATATTTTTTATGCCCTCCACCTTGAAAAGGAGGGTATAGTTATTTTGTCATTCGGTTTGTAACATCCCATAATATTCGTCGTAGACCCCATAAAACATATATATTCATAATCAGCATAAAATTCTAAGTCGATTTAACGATCTCCGCCTGTCTGTTGAAATCAAGAAACAGCCCATAGTATTTGATAATTGTTGCCACATTTTCCCACGGATATGTCCAAAAATTGGTATTTATAGTTCTATGGGTTCTAGCTCCTGTGGCGGAACATATTATGTATAGGTTCACGTCTTCGAATATCCCCCACAAAACGGTACCTCGGATATGATGACTTTTGCCACATTTTTCCACGAATTTGTCTAAAAATTTGCATTTGTAATGGGTTTCAGCTCCGGCGGCAGAACGTTTTCCTATAGCGCACATATAACGATACCCACCGATTCTCGGTATTTTAATAATCCTAGTCATATTTACCCACGAAATTGTTTCAAATTTGGTATTTAAGAAGATTTGGTAGATGACAATCCTCGAATTACAAAGTTGTCTATAGAGGTTCCCGTTTTGGTATGACCCCATATAACGGCATCACTCACTTAATGTTTTTTTGAAATGTTTAACAGAATTATCCAAACGAGCTTACTGGCATTTGTAGTTTAAAGTGGAACACGTAAGAATTGAGATACTTTTATATAAAAATATTTCCTTTAACCAAAGGTGGAGGGTATTAAAAGTTCGGCCCAACCTAATTTTTTTACATGTTTTTATATAGAATGAAAATATAGATATTTTTATTCTTCTAGGGCTAAAATATATTTTTAATATATATGTATATAGTTCTTAGAGTCTTATAACAAATATAATTGTAGAATATTCTGACTTGGCACGACCCCGTTGCAAGGACGTTTTTACAAATATTTTGAAAAAATAAACAAAAAAAATAGTTTGACAAAAAAAATAATATTAATATTATTATTTGCAATAACACTATATACCTTAAAGAATGGATTTTAAGCAATATTAATCCGAACATTTCACAAAGTTTTGAAGATGGAGGAATTTGCTCTCTCTATTTATGTTACCCGATACCAGTTTGGATTTCGACAGTAACAATCTGGTGGATTTTTCATTTTATTATTGAAAACAATGAAATTTTTAGCACAATTTAATTTTTAAAAGGTTTATTTCGTCATATGCAAATATGGTTTCAAAATTGAAAAGTACTAAAGAAATCAGTGAGGGCAAATCAATGCCGCCGCCTAGTTTGCAACGGAGTTGTGTATTTCACTTGAATATCCTATACTCACCGGCCATTACATTCCACTAAACTGGAAATAAAACGGGGTTCCTGTAATTCCACCTCCTTAAGGATGTCCTGGACAATTTTGCAAATTTCTCTTATGGCTGTGGCTGTTTTGAACATTCGCGCCTGGACACGTTCGGCACAGTAGCGATTCATTTGATAAATCATGCGCGTCTGGGCGGCCATCATATCAGGTGGGACCAACATGGTGGCGGGCAAACAGAAGATGTCGCGCAATGGGAAATGCTTAAAGATTCACCGGTGATGATGGGAAAATCAGCCTTTGTTTTCTTAAATTTCGCGATGTTATCGATTTTTTTCTTCAATATATTTTTGTTTCGTTCAATGCTACAATTATTTTGTTAGCACCTGAAAATCGTTCTTACAATTGTTACGGCTTACAACACCTCCGAAAAAATCACTTTGTATTTTTTTTTTTTTTTTTTTTTTTTTTTTTTGAGAAAATTTTCTTTATTTCATTTTGTATCCTTCGTGGGTATTGTGTTCACTTGGAAGCAGCTTGAACGATTTCTTCTTCTTTTCCTTCTTTTTTTTAGCAATTTAATTCTGTGATAAAAGCCGCCATTCGAAATTAAACGTCACAGCACGTTTGGGAATTTTACAATACGAGCAGATTTCAAATCACTGATATTACACAAACTGACACAGATGCCGAGCAAAGGAGTTGGCGGGGTCAGCAATGACCGCAGGCAACGACCTACCCAAACTACCCGATGACCGTTACAACATATTTTCCATGGAGAATATGTTAACCTTAACGGATGTGAATGGCGGATGCTGCAGCAAATTCTTCTTCTTCTTTTTCTTCAAGAACAATGACCCAGTCGGCGAATATGGGATTCACAATTGCTGACCGTAAACTCGAGGATAGGATGCCAACGCGATTTAATGCAATTGCATATGGCGGCCGGAGACTTCACAAAGGCCAAATGTCCAGCAGCCATCGACTGACTCGCCTTGTCGTATGGTTGAACAATTTTTGGGCCTCAATGTGGCCGGACGTTTATTTTGATTTTGTTTTTTTTTCGTTTCGTTTCTTGTTGGACGTACGTACGGCGGCGGCGGCGGTGTTTTGTTTTGTTTTATTCCTTTCTTTTCACCTCCAGGAAAAAAGAACGCCAAAAAAAATCGTGTAGGAGAGTTATGCTGTTTCCAATTGGCAATCGCTTGGCTAACGAAATGACACGCGTCGTGTAGTAAATCTCGCGGATATTTACAGCTTTATCCAGCAGATAAAGAAGTTTAATGGCATCGAAAATAACACGCCAAACAATCACCCCAACAACAAATGACAATAACTGAGAGGAAGGTAGCCATGGCAGCAGAGCTGAAATAGCTGTCGCAGCACCCGGAGCAGCAGCAACAACGACAACGGCAAAGAGGTTGGTAATCCAAAAAACCAATACCATCAAAACAGAAAGCTTGGCGCTATTCGAATAAACTGGCAGATAATGATCATTACGCTTTGATGTTTGTCTGGCTGTCTGTCTGTCTGCCGTTCGGTTGGACAATTTTGTTGGTTATCTGGTTTGGGGGATGCCTGGCTGGTTGGCTATGGAGGAGTAGGCGTGAGTTGGGCCTTAACGATGTTGTCTCGTTTTTAGCAGACGTATGTCTGTATTTGCACTTAAGAAACAAAAACAAAAAATACAGCAGCAATTGCAGTTGCAACAACAACAGCAGCAATTAGTTCTCCCACAAAAAATATGTACGGACAGATGCAGACGCACATGTATTTTCCCTTCCGACACTATGCTACATGCACACAGCGAACATAAGCATGTACCCCCATCATTTGTATGTATTTAGTTCGTATATTTTTCCTCAAGGTATGTAATACCGCCGGTTTACAACACCTGGAGGCAGTTAAGAGATAATCATGTCTTTAGTCTGTTTCTTTGTTGCACATCTCAACATAATACTCCTCTCTGTTGGCATTTGATTCTGAAGACATTTTTTTGATAAGTCTCCCACCCCAACACCAGACACACACACTCACACAAATGTTCATACATAAACGAAGGAGAACTGACTCAGATACATGTTCAAAAATATTTTCAGATGCAAGAGCAAACAACAATCTTGAGAATATCATCTCTCAGGGTTATCTGAAAAATCTTCACCATTGTCGAGACACATACACAACTACAAGAATTAACGAAACAAACCCTAATACACACAGAGAACAAAGCAAAACCACTCGATTTCTCTCGTTCTCTTTTCACAATGTTAGCTCCTCCCCCTTTTCAATTGGGTATTATAATGAGAGTTCTTCATAGCTGTTTTTCTCTCTCTCTCTTTCTCATTTCTCGTAGATATGTTTTGTTATATACACATTTGAAATGTTGGGTGGTGTGTCACAGTCTTTTGAAATTGAAACTATGGTAATAAGTGGTCTTTGAATGAAACATAACGGCACGTACGATTCTCCATAAATTTTGACATTTATGTCGGCCAAATGATGGTTGCTATTGATCTTTCGTCAACAGAAGATATCTAGAAAGAAAAAGTTTAAACGGTCAACGCCAAAATTTCAACATTTTTATCGAATATTTAAACTGAAGACATGTTGATTCATAAATGAACTATAATACCAAACAGAGATGGCTCATAAGTTCGGTATGTCCCATTAGACTTCATTTTTATACCCGACAACACTACGTGTTGGGGGCTATTATAATTTTGATTGAGTCAAAAAGTTGGTAACACCTTGACAAGACATAGGATGTTATATATGAATCTTCCAAACTGAGTCGATCTATGTAAAATTGTTGCACCTCACAACACAATGTGCATGGGGTATTATATTCAGGTCGCAATAATCGTCCGATTTTCATTTTTGGGATTTAAAAACTTAATACTCGACCTATATACATCCCATTTTGAATACCAAAAGTCCTGCAGACCTAACACACATCTGAGTAAAATTTTATAAACCTACTTCATCTGTTCATTTATTTTTTTTTTTAATTTTATTGAATGAAAGCAAAAAATGTCAGAAATAGCATCAAATTTTAGAAAAAGTTTAGATTTGTTCGTTTTGGTCACCTTTGGCACGAATTATGGCCTTCAAACTGTCACACTCTACTCAAATGTTGCTTTACGGTATTTTGGCAAATTCCCGACGAAGCGCTTGCTTGGGGTGATCAAAACTTTGGTATTTTTTAGTGCCAACCTTGCTTTCCAAAATACTCCAGACACAATAGTCCAGCGGATTGGTATCCGGAGATTTTGGTGGTTATTGTGCGCTGGAAATGAAGCGAGGAACCTCATTTTGTAACTGTTCTTGGGTGGCGTGTGCTCAGTACGATGGTGCTGAGTCCTGTTTGAATGTCCAAGGCCATGGCTTTAATACACCCTCCAGACCACCACCACACCATTACCATGGCAGGCGCTTGAGTTTTGGTGGCCAACCAAAGGTGCAAATTTTCAGCTGACCTCTTTGGCAAGAAAAAACGATCATTTTGTTGGTTTATTATCTACTGTACAACGAATGTTTTCTCATCGGAGAAAACCAAATTCGGTAATTTACCACTTTCGGTCAAGTGAAGTAACTATTTAGCTCTTTTGAGTCTATTTTCTTTCTGTTACGGTGTAAGTTCTTGTCTTTTTGGAATTTCAAAAGCTTTACCCCGAGCTCATTTTTCAATATTTGCCGAATGGAATATTGCGATATGTTCAGCTCACGAGCCATTTTTCGGCCAATGCGACGCGGGTTTCGAACAAGTCCCTTCTTTACTTTTCGAACCATTTCTGCTGATGTTGCTGTTTTTTTCCATCCACTAACTTGACGTCGGCCTACCCTATCAGTATCACGGTAACGAGCGGTGGTACGAGACACAAAAGATTTATTCACATTTAAATGCTGGAGTGCTCTAACGATAGTCACTTGTGGTTTTCCACCCAAAAATATAGAGAAATCATACTATCACGCTTGAATTCCACCACGAATAACTTATTTTCTGGAAAATTCTCACCAAAATGCTTTGGTACGCTTGTAAACAATGTAATGAGCTGTCACTGGAATAATTTTAACAGCTGTCGGACGAATGGCTTAGAAGTGAGTCTGAAGTTTGTTGCAGTTTTTTCATCTCACCCTGCAAATATGGGAGCTATATTCAAATCTTTACCGATTTCAATAAAATTTGGCAAATTAAACGAAAAGAAAAATCTAAATTTTTGGGATTCTGATGCTATATAATTCCAAGTGGAATTTCAAACAGTTATATAGCCTATGTTACTTTCAGGCGATGCTGTAGTATATATGGACATTTTCTGGGAAATCTGTTTAGCAGTTTTTGAGTCTAGAAATTACAAACAAAAGTACAAAACATTTTTCTCTTGTATAGATATAGAAGATTGTATCTGCATATAAAAATGTAGCGTTTGTGCCTTCAAATTTCTTTTTATGTAACACCTCGAAATATTGATTTCCCACATAGGAAAGTATATATGGATCTTCCCATCTCGCCGAGTTGAGTCGATCTAGCTATGTATGTCCGTCCGTCCGTCTGTCCGTCAGTCCATGTTAATTTGTAATCACTCTACAGGTCGCAATTATGGCCCGATCTTCACGAAATTTAGAATGGAGGTCGGGCTAGGGTCAGAATAGAACCCTATATCTTTTGGAGATGATCGCATAATATTTAGGTGTTCAAATGGACCAAAAACTGAAAAAATGTCGGATTTTGCAGTAGCTATACAGGTCGCTATTATAGACCAATCGACGCGGAACTTCGCATGTAGCTAGAGTTTAGGACGGGGGAGAAGCCTACCAATTTGGGTGGTCATCGGATAATATTTAGCGGGTAAAATAGACCATATCTTTTGTGTTGAAAAAATTCAACATTTTTATTAAACCGCGAATATTTTAAATCCCGGCAAAATCACAAAGCCATGACAAGGTTACTTCTGATCTTTACATTGATGTTAACATCCAACAAAACGGATATATAGCAAAATATGTGCGATATATATGTCTATCAAAGAAGATATACTTGAAAGATCTCTTATATGTCGAGAACGGCTGAACTGATTTCGACAGTTCTCATTAATTCAGAATAGCCTCTTGGCAGTAAAGAAACAACGTCTAAAAAATCGTACAAAAATATCTCTCTAAAGATGAAAATATTGATTTTTTAAAATGTTCTCATATTTTTTTTAATTTTGTCACATTTTTTGCATATTTTCGTTTTGAATTAATATTTCTACAGCTAACAAAACTAAGTAGTTACGATATCAGGATATCATACACAGATCGCATTTATGGCCCGATCCTAACGAAATTTTGCATGGGGATCAGATTAGGGTCAGAATAGAAGCCTACTCTTTTTGGAGATGATCGCCATATATTTAGGGGTTGAAATGGACCAAAAAACTGCAAAATTGTCAGCAGGTCGTAATTATTGTCCGATCCTCACGCACATTTGAATGGGGGTTACCGGGCATTGCAAAAGCCAAGCAGTTTTGGATGGCCATCCAAAAATATTCAATGTGTGCCAACTTTTGTAGTGACTTTTTGGAGAATTCGATAATACAGGAAAGACGGTCTTCTGACTATTTCGTTAACGCTGCTTTCGTTGAAGAATATAGTCAAATGTCTGTATCTCATATAGATGCGTTTCAGTCAAAAACCAATAATAAATTAATTAATCTTTTGCCACTTCTGAGAGATTATAGGTCTTTGGGAAATATTGGTTCCAGATCTAGGAAGACCATTTAAGTGCAACATCTACCAATAAATTGGAAATGAGCAAATTAGTTTAAGTTGCTATTATTCGAAAATTAGAGAACGAAACCTGACGAAACCTGGTTTTCTTTTATTATTTGTCACAATATCTTTTGCAATTCTTTCGAGTATCTCGCCTATATAAACTGTATCGTTTATTATAGTGTTGTAGGGTATTCAACGGTCGGCCCCGCTCGACTGTAGCCTTTGCTTACTTGTTTTTTTTTTAATTCGTGTTTCATGATTTCTGCTTTAGTATTCCTTCAAAAAATATTCCTAGTATTCTAATCTCTTTAGCAAAAGTGACTTAATTTATTCCACAACCATGAACATCTATCACCATCACCTTTTTTGTTTCCTATCTCTGCTTATCTACAACATTACACCTATCTACGAAAAATTCCCATTTAAGTTTTGTTAAATTAAATTTAACATCTTTACCATTTAACACTTGTTTACCATCTTTCAAATCTACAAAAAAAATATTGAAATACATGATAAAAAAATTAAATTAAAATGCACAAAAACACACACACATATATAACCATTTCTTTTCCTGTAAATGAAAACATGACATGGCAAGAGAGAAGGCTATGGCAAATAAAATAAAGAACCCCTCAAATACACCACCATTTGTGGGCCATAATTTATCTTCCAGGTTAAATATGTTTTGGGTTTAAAAACATTTATTTTATGTTTTTTGCCACAAAGGTAAAATATATGTATGCATACATAGATGTGCCGGGAGATAGGTGGTATGTGGACATACACACTTACCTATGACTGTATGTATCTGGATTTCCTTTGCGCATATTTATTTTCAAAGTTTTCTTCTCTCTTTTCCGCATGCAGCAC